CGCGTATGCACCATCCAGACAGTGCGCTCAAGCGTATCCACCATCGCCAGACAGGTGCGCTCAACGCGTATGCCACCATCGCCAGACAGGTGCGCTCAACGCGTATATGCCACCATCGCAGACAGGTGCGTCAACGCGTATGCCACCATCGCCAGAGGTGCGCTCAACGCGTATGCCACCATCGCCAGACAGGTGCGCTCAACGCGTTATGCCCACCCATCGCCAGACAGGTGCGCTCAACGCGTATGCCACCATCGCCAGACAGGGCGGTCACGCGTATGCCACCATCGCCAGACAGGTGCGCTCAACGCGTATGCCACCATCGCCAGACAGGTGCGCTCAACGCGTTATGCCACCATCGCCAGACAGGTGCCTCCCCCCCCCCGACACCAACGCGTATTGCCACCATCGCCAGACAGGTGCGCTCAACGCGTATGCCACCATCGCCAGACAGGTGCGCTCAACGCGTATGCCACCATCGCCAGACAGGTGCGCTCAACGCGTATGCCACCATCGCCAGACAGGTGCGGCTCAACGCGTATGCCACCATCGCCAGACAGGTGCGGTCAACGCGTATGCCACCATCGCCAGACAGGTGCGCTCAACGCGTATGCCACCATCGCCAGACAGGTGCGGTTCAACGCGTATGCCCACCATCGCCAGACAGGTGCGTCGCTCAACGCGCATTACTGCCACCATCGCCAGACAGGTGCGCTCAACGCGTATGCCACCATCGCCAGACAGGTGCGCTCAACGCGTATGCCACCATCGCCAGACAGGTGCGCTCAACGCGGTATGCCACCATCGCCAGACAGGTGCGCTCAACGCGTATGCCACCATCGCCAGACAGGTGCGCTCAACGCGTATGCCACCATCGCTGACAGGTGCGCACGCGTTGCCACACAGGTGCGCTCAACGTATGCCACCATCGCCAGACAGGTGCGGTCAACGCGTATGCCACCATCGCCAGACAGGTGCGCTCAACGCGTATGCCACCATCGCCAGACAGGTGCGGTCAACGCGTATGCCCATCGCCAGACAGGTGCGCTCAACGCGTATGCCACCATCGCCAGACAGGTGCGCTCAACGCGTATGCCACCATCGCCAGACAGGTGCGCTCAACGTGTATGCCACCATCGCCAGACATGTGCGGTCAACGCGTATGCCACCATCGCCAGACAGGTGCGCTGAACGCGTATGCCACCATCGCCAGACAGGTGCGCTCAACGCGTATGCCACCATCGCCAGACAGGTGCGCTCAACGCGTATGCCACCATCGCCAGACAGGTGCGCTCAACGCGTATGCCACCATCGCCAGACAGGTGCGCTCAACGCGTATGCCACCATCGCCAGACAGGTGCGCTCAACGCGTATGCCACCATCTCCAGACAGGTGTGGTCAACGCGTATGCCACCATCGCCAGATAGGTGCGCTCAACGCGTATGCCACCATCGCCAGACAGGTGCGCTCAACGCGTATGCCACCATCGCCAGACAGGTGCGGTCAACGCGTATGCCACCATCGCCAGACAGGTGCGCTCAACGCGTATGCCACCATCGCCAGACAGGTGCGCTCAACGCGTATGCCACCATCGCCAGACAGGTGCGCTCAACGCGTATGCCACCATCGCCAGACAGGTGCGCTCAACGCGTATGCCACCATCGCCAGACAGGTGCGGTCAACGCGTATGCCACCATCGCCAGACAGGTGCGCTCAACGCGTATGCCACCATCGCCAGACAGGTGCGCTCAACGCGTATGCCACCATCGCCAGACAGGTGCGGTCAACGCGTATGCCACCATCGCCAGACAGGTGCGGTCAACGCGTATGCCACCATCGCCAGACAGGTGCGGTGGTAAGGGGCGAAGTGGAGAAATACGCTTGGGCAGCCTAGCGTATTGCGTATATACGCTAGCGTATAATACGAATACGCTGTACGCTATGTAAGTACGCAATACGCTAGCGTATTTCTTGGCGGGCAGCCCGGCAAGAAATACGCAAAGAAATATGCGACAAATTTGCGACATGGCGAAACCCCACAGGGATTTCGCCATGTCGCAAACCGAAATTTGGCTTTTGAAATCGTCAACCCAACCCCTTCGCCCCTCCCAACCGCACAGCACCCCACCCAATCTGCGGCTTCCAAACAAAACCCAAAGAAATCTCCTTCCTCTCCCTGTGTCTACTCTACTCCAGTAGGGTTTAGCGCACTTGACTCCTATGACGAAATCAGGGTACAAGTAAACTGGCGCGCTAACTTCAGTCATTTCTTCTTCCAAGCTAGCGCGGCCAGCTAGCTGGTTTTTTAGCGACTGCGCTATGTCGACCCCTCCACCTAGTCCTGGTTCCCGCGGAAACGACGCGGGAACCTCCCGTGCTGTTTTGCCCGGGAGGTTCCCGCTCCTGGAGAACACCACCCACACTGTCTTTAAGCATTTCAAGTTTAAGCATAAGGAGCACGACAAGCAGCAAAAGTACTGGTGCAAGTACTGCCCCGTATCCTTTACTGTGGGACAGCCTACCGCTGCACGCAGCACGTCCTTAGTTGGGATGGTATGCGTAGGCGCGAGGTTCGGAAATGCGAGGAGGTAGGGAAGGAGGAGCAGGCTGCCGTCCGCGCGTTCCAAACCGCCAAAGTGCTCGCAAGGGAGGAGGCGCATAGGGCGGAGGAGTCGGCCCTCGACGCCGTTAGTGGTCGGGGAAAGCGGAAGATCACCGATTACCTGTCCGATGACGCCCAAGCGGCCAAGGCAGTGGCAGACGAGGCTGTTTGCCTCCTCTTTGCCGGCCTCCGCCTTCCCGAGTGCCATGCCGACCACCCGCTTGGGCGCAACGCCGTCCGGTCCGTTGCGCGCGCGGGGACCAGCTATGTGCCTCCAAAGCACGACTACGTGGGTGGTGCCGGCTTGCAGCTATGCCGCAAGCTGATTGACGAAGGATTGACGGGCGTCATGTCGAGCTGGAAGCGCCACGGTGTGACGATTGCCAGCGACATGATGACCGACAAGTGTGGGAGGCCGCAGGCGAATGTGATGCTGGTCAATGACACCGGCGCAGTGTTCGTCGAGAGTATTGACTGCAAGGTGGAGAAAAAGACCGGGGATACATCGCCCGGCTCCTCCGGCCCATCCAGCAAAAGGCTGGGGTCGAGAACATCGTGGCGTTCTGCACCGATGGTGGTAGCAACTACCACAGCGCCTGCCGGCTCCTCATTGCAGAGAATCCGCGCATCGAGCATGTGCCGTATGCGACGCACGTGCTCGACCTCCTTATGGAGGATGTGGGGCGGCAGGCTTGGGCCAAGGAGGTAGTGGGGCGGGCGAGCGAGCTCATCAACTACACCCGCAGCCACCATTGGACCCGACAGTATCTCAGGGGTGTGGACGGAGGGAAGGGGCTGCAGATGCTGAGGCCGGTGGGGACCAGGTTTGGGACGCAGCACATTGCTGTGTCCCGCCTGGAGGAGTTGCGGTCAACGCTGGTGACCATGGTGCTCTGCAAAGCATGGAAGGCGGAGTGGGCGGTGGGCCCAAAGAAGGCAGCTGCAGAGACATTTCACGACCAGATCATGGATAAGGACTGGTGGCTGGCGGCTGAGCTTTTCAAGAGGCTGCTCCTGCTCCCGTTCTAGGCCATGAGGGCGACGGATTCGGCAACGAAGGGGATGATGGGCCGCATCTATGAGCTGATGCTTGAGCTCACTGTGAAAGTGGAAGAACTGCTGAAGGAGGAGGGGGATGGGGTGCTGAGTGCGGGAGACAAGAAGGGCGTCAATGAGATTGTGAAGCGGCGTTGGGATGGGAGTATGGCTTGCCCACTGCACGTGGTCGGGCGGATTCTTAACCCGGCCAACCAGGAGGAGCGGATTTTTGGGCCGGACACTGAGTGCACCGATGTGTTCAAGGCTTCCATTGCCCGCCACTATGGGGGGGTGATGATTCCCCAGAGGGATGGCCTGCCCAAGCGTGCCACACTCCTCCTGCAGGAAGGGTTGGCCACCTTTGTGAAGTTGAGGGGCAGCTTCGGCACGGCTGAGGCCAACAGTGACCGGAAGTTGGTGAGGGAGGGAAGTTGTGGGAGCGGCACGGCACTGACCACCCCTTGCTCATGGCCCTTGCTTGCCGTGTGCTAACTCAGCCGGTGCCCGCATCCCGTTGCGAGCGCAACTGGGCGGGGTGGGATACTGTCCACACCGCCCGATGCAACCGGCTGGGTTCAGAAAAGTGCGCACAACTGGAAGGTTGTGCACAACTGGCACATGGCCGACGAGGGGGCGGGGGTGGTGTCCGGGAACATCCCGGACGCCCCGTCCCTGCGGGGTACAGGGTGGATCGGGAAGAGGAGGATGAGGAGGGCGAAGATGAGGAGCTGCTGGACGAGTACCTGTAGAGCAGAGCAGGAGAGGGTTAGGCAGGTGGTTTGGGGGAGGCTTACCTGAGATGGGTGGTTGGCTGGTTGTTGGAGGAGTTTTGGAACCCTTGACATGCCCTTGGTGGCTTGAACTATTTATTTATTACCATGCTAAATGACGCCACATTTGGTGGGGGGAATTTGGTGCTCTGCAACCCCCCTCTTCCCTCTCCAAACAGGTTTTTTTTACACCTGCCCGAGTTTTTTTTAGACCTGCCCGCCAGAGCGTATTTCCTAGCATATCCAATCCCGGAATCAAGCGTACAGCGTATATATGCTAGCGTATAATACGCTGTACGCGTATTTCTCCACTCAGGTAAGGGGTGGTGGCTGGAGGGGTTTTGCACGATATGGGTTGGTGCTTCTGTCGTGTCGTCTGCTCCTCTCCTGTTTCGCGCGCTGTCCCAGTGGCCACCTCACCCAGTCGACTCTTCTCTCACCACACCTTCTCTCCTCCGTCCCACACCACCCAGAGCCACCTTGCCTCACCCTCCTAGCTATTGCATTTGCATTGAACCCTTGGCCCCCTGAAACCCTAAACCCCTAATCTCCTGAACCGTTGAACCCGGTGACTTGTGGCGGCGTGGCAGGAGGGCGTGGCGGCACTGTGGACGGGCGTGGGGCCCAACATCGCGCGCAACGCCATCATCAACGCGGCGGAGCTCGCCAGCTACGACCAGATCAAGCAGGTGCGCTGCAGTGGGGTGTCACTCGGTGCAGTGCGGTTTCAATCTGTAATATTGAGAAGCTGCGAGTGGTGTTCATTCCACGGGTAGGGTATGGCTGGGCACAGCTGGCCACTGTGCCGCGTCGTGTGACTCAGTTCGCACCGGAGTGGCACAGAGTGGTGCGGTGTGGTGCAGTGCAGAGAGCTGAGAGGCAGTTGGAATGGGTTGATTCTCGTCTCCACTTGACCCACATTGTCAATGCTGCCAGCGTTGCCTGTAGTAGCCGGATCGAGTTGCAGTGTTTGGGTCTGCTCATTCTTGCAATAACTGTGGAACTTAAAGTGAGGTTGGGTTGTCATTCTTTTCTGTCTCTATTCGCACCCCTCTCTGCCCTCCCACCTGTGCATCCTTCTCTTCCCATCCCTATGCCTTCCGCACCACCCCTTCGTCTCCCCTTTCGCCCCTATCCACTCCTCATCCCATCGTGCAACCCCATCCCCCCTGCAGTCGCTGCTGAAGGTGCCAGGCTTCGGCGACAATGTGGTGACGCATCTCATCGCGGGGCTGGGCGCCGGCTTCTTCGCCGTCTGCATCGGCTCGCCAGTGGACGTGGTCGGTGCCACGTGCTGCTGTGCTACTGCGCTGGGGGGGGCAGTGCGCTGGGGGGGGCAGGGGCTTGAAGCGCAGCTCCCAAATTGCAAGCTGCGACAAGTGTGCGCGGGTTGGGGAGATTTGGGTCAGACGGGTGGTTGTGAAGCTCACGAAGAGTGGGTTTCTGGCAAACTTCGGGGGCACAACTGGTCGACCAGTGGAAAGGTTACGCTTTCGTGTCCCAAGTTGGTTACACGACTCAGGGTTACAGCTTTAAGCAAAAGGGGCTGGGGTCAGACTAGTTGTACCTGGGGCATTCCCTCCCTTAGCCATATTTTGCAGTTCCCTTGACTCGGACGGTTACAGCGAGAGGTCTGACGCGTTCCGATACGCGCTCGGTCGGTTACAGCTTTAAGCAAAATGCTTGTGCCTTGTAACTTGGGACATGGGCTTTAAATTTCTGTAGTTGATTCACCCCCGCCCATCACCCCCAGCCCCCATCACCCCTCCCTCTGCCCCCATTCTTTGTTCCAAACCAAATGCCTCCCCTGCTGACTTCTTCTCTTGCAATGCCCCTCCCTCCCGCTCTCCTTTTTTCTGGCCCATTCCTCCCTGCCCATGCCCTGCTGCCTGCCTCCGCTGCTGCCTGCGTGCACCACCGCGGGAAGAGGCGAGTGATGGGCCACAGCATGCTGCAGCACGAGGGGGCTGTGCTCCACTCAAGTGCTCACTCTCCCCCAACCATCCCAAACCCGCTGTCCCCTCACCTCGTGCCCCCCCCCACCACCGTGTGCGGCAGGTGAAGTCGCGAGTGATGGGCGACAGCACGGGGCAGTACAAGGGCACGGTGGACTGCTTCGTCAAGACCTTCAGAAACGATGTGAGGCGTGCGGGGGTGCAGTGTGGAGGGGCGTGCTGGAGGAGGGGAGGGGTATGCTGTGAGGGGGGGGCGTGACAGGCTTTTGGATGTCCGAGTTCGGTTTGGTTGATGTAATTTTTGTGTGCCTGGCTACACACATCTGTGCACACTCACATGCATCTGCATATTGACTCACAACACACACCCCCCCTCCCCCCCACCCCAGGGTCTGCTGGCGTTCTACAAGGGCTTCATCCCCAACTTCGGTCGCCTGGGCTCCTGGAACGTCATCATGTTCCTCACCCTCGAACAGGTGAATGTCATCATGTAACAGGTGCACTCACCCTCCACCAGGTGCTCGCACCCTCCAACAGGCGCTCGCTCTCACACTCACATTCCATGTAGACAGAGTCAGTGTAGTCCCATCAGAGTCAGTGTATCCCATCAGATCAGTGTCCCATCAGAGTCAGTGTAGTCCCATCAGAGTCAGTGTAGTCCCATCAGAGTCAGTGTAGTCCCATCAAGTCATGTAGTCCCATCAGAGCGTGTAGTCCCATCAGAGTCAGTGTAGTCCATCAGAGTCAGTGTAGTCCCATCAGAGGTCAGTGTAGTCCCATCAGAGTCAGTGTAGTCCCATCAGAGTCAGTGTAGTCCCATCAGAGTCAGTGTTGTAGTTCCCATCAGAGTCAGTGTAGTCCCATCAGAGTCCCAAGTTGTAGTTCCCATCAGAGTCAGTGTAGTCCCATCAGAGTCAGTGTAGTCCCATCAGAGTCAGTGTAGTCCCCATCAGAGTCAGTGTAGTCCCATCAGAGTCAGTGTAGTCCTCAGAGTCAGTGTAGTCCATCAGAGTCAGTGTAGTCCCATCAGAGTCAGTGTAGTCCCATCAGAGTCAGTGTAGTCCCATCAGAGTCAGTGTAGTCCCATCAGAGTCAGTGTAGTCCCATCAGAGTCAGTGTAGTCCCATCAGAGTCAGTGTAGTCCCATCAGAGTCAGTGTAGTCCCATCAGAGTCAGTGTAGTCCCATCAGAGTCAGTGTAGTCCCATCAGAGTCAGTGTAGTCCCATCAGAGTCCAGTGTAGTCCCATCAGAGTCAGTGTAGTCCCATCAGATCAGAGTCAGTGTAGTCCATCAGAGTCAGTGTAATCCATCAGAGTCAGTGTAGTCCCATCAGAGTCAGTTAGTCCCATCAGGTCAGTGTAGTCCCATCAGAGTCAGTGTAGTCCCATCAGAGTCAGTGTAGTCCATCAGAGTCAGTGTAGTCCCATCAGAGTCAGTGTAGTCATCAGAGTAGTGTAGTCCCATCATTATTCAGATCAGTGTAGTCCCATTTTCAGAGTCAGTGTAGTCCCATCAGAGTCAGTGTAGTCCCATCAGAGTCAGTGTAGTCCCATCAGATCAGTGTAGTCCCATCAAGTCAGTGTAGTCCCATCAGAGTCAGTGTAGTCCCATCAGAGTCAGTGTAGTCCACAAGTCAGTGTAGTCCCATCAGAGTCAGTGTATCCCATCAGAGTCAGTTATCCATCAGAGTCAGTGTAGTCCCATCAGAGTCAGTGTAGTCCCATCAGAGTCAGTGTTAGTCCCATCAGAGTCAGTGTAGTCCCATCAGAGTCAGTGTAGTCCCATCAGAGTCAGTGTAGTCCCATCAGAGTCAGTGTAGTCCCATCAGAGTCAGTGTAAGTCCCATCAGAGTCAGTGTAGTCCCATCAGAGTCAGTGTAGTCCCATCAGAGTCAGTGTAGTCCCATCAGAGTCAGTGTAGTCCCATCAGAGTCAGTGTAGTCCCATCAGAGTCAGTGTAGTCCCATCAGAGTCAGTGTAGTCCCATCAGAGTCAGTGTAGTCCCATCAGAGTCAGTGTAGTCCCATCAGAGTCAGTGTAGTCCCATCAGAGTCAGTGTAGTCCCATCAGAGTCAGGTTGTAGTCCATCAGAGTCAGTGTAGTTCCCCATCAGAGTCAGTGTAGTCCATCAGAGTCAGTGTAGTCCCATTCAGAGTCAGTGTAGTCCCATCAGAGTCAGTGGTAGTCCCATCAGAGTCAGTGTAGTCCCATCAGAGTCAGTGTAGTCCCATCAGAGTCAGTGTAGTCCCATCAGAGTCAGTGTAGTCCCATCAGAGTCAGTGTAGTCCCATCAGAGTCAGTGTAGTCCCATCAGAGTCAGTGTAGTCCCATCAGAGTCAGTGTAGTCCCATCAGAGTCAGTGTAGTCCCATCAGAGTCAGTGTAGTCCCATCAGAGTCAGTGTAGTCCCATCAGAGTCAGTGTAGTCCCATCAGAGTCAGTGTAGTCCCATCAGAGTCAGTGTAGTCCCATCAGAGTCAGTGTAGTCCCATCAGAGTCAGTGTAGTCCCATCAGAGTCAGTGTAGTCCCATCAGAGTCAGTGTAGTCCCATCAGAGTCAGTGTAGTCCCATCAGAGTCAGTGTAGTCCCATCAGAGTCAGTGTAGTCCCATCAGAGTCAGTGTAGTCCCATCAGAGTCAGTGTAGTCCCATCAGAGTCAGTGTAGTCCCATCAGAGTCAGTGTAGTCCCATCAGAGTCAGTGTAGTCCCATCAGAGTCAGTGTAGTCCCATCAGAGTCAGTGTAGTCCCATCAGAGTCAGTGTAGTCCCATCAGAGTCAGTGTAGTCCCATCAGAGTCAGTGTAGTCCCATCAGAGTCAGTGTAGTCCCATCAGAGTCAGTGTAGTCCCATCAGAGTCAGTGTAGTCCCATCAGAGTCAGTGTAGTCCCATCAGAGTCAGTGTAGTCCCATCAGAGTCAGTGTACCCATCAGAGTCAGTGTAGTCCCATCAGAGTCAGTGTAGAGTCAGCTGTAATCAGACAGGAGTCCCATCAGAGTCAGTGTAGTCCCATCAGAGTCAGTGTAGTCCCATCAGAGTCAGTGTAGTCCCATCAGAGTCAGTGTAGTCCATCAGAGTCAGTGTAGTCCCATCAGAGTCAGTGTAGTCCCATCAGAGTCAGTGTAGTCCCATCCAGAGTCTCAGGTGGTAGTCCCATCAGAGTCAGTGTAGTCCCATCAGAGTCAGTGTAGTCCCATCAGAGTCAGTGTAGTCCCACTCAGATGTCAGTGTAGTCCCATCAGAGTCAGTGTAGTCCCATCAGAGTCAGTGTAGTCCCATCAGAGTCCAGTGTAGTCCCATCAGAGTCAGTGTAGTCCCATCAGAGTCAGTGTAGTCCCATCAGAGTCAGTGTAGTCCCATCAGAGTCAGTGTAGTCCCATCAGAGTCAGTGTAGTCCCATCAGAGTCAGTGTAGTCCCATCAGAGTCAGTGTTAGTCCCATCAGAGTCAGTGTAGTCCCATCAGAGTCAGTGTAGTCCCATCAGAGTCAGTGTAGTCCCATCAGAGTCAGTGTAGTCCCATCAGAGTCAGTGTAGTCCCATCAGAGTCAGTGTAGTCCCATCAGAGTCAGTGTAGTCCCATCAGAGTCAGTGTAGTCCCATCAGAGTCAGTGTAGTCCCATCAGAGTCAGTGTAGTCCCATCAGAGTCAGTGTAGTCCCATCAGAGTCAGTGTAGTCCCATCAGAGTCAGTGTAGTCCCATCAGAGTCAGTGTAGTCCCATCAGAGTCAGTGTAGTCCCATCAGAGTCAGTGTATCCATCAGAGTCAGTGTAGTCCCATCAGAGTCAGTGTAGTCCCATCAGATTCAGTGTAGTCCCATCAGACTCTCCACATCCTGTCCAGTCACGGCTCGTCTAGTCAAACTGATTCTAGGCGAATCTAATCAGTCAGTCATCCCGTCAGGCAGCTGTGAAGCTAGCCCTGGCAGCATGCAGTGCAAGGTGCCCCTCTCTCTGCCTCAGCGCTGTCCCTCTCCTGTGCCTCAGCGCTGCCTGCTGGGCTCTTGTGCATCCGTGCTGCTTCCCATGTGCTGTACGTCCTCTCTTCCGCTGCTCATCCCCATCACGTTCCGTTCTGGCCTCTCCGTCCCGTCACTACAGGTGAAGAAGAACTTCCTCACAGAGGTGCCTCACCAATGACACTGCCCTGCTACCTACGCCTTACGTCCTCGAATATTACATAATCACGTCGACAACAAATATACCTACACCCGGAGCACTAGAAGTTTTTTTGTTTTACCAGGCAAGAGCCGAGGTCTGTCTTATCTTCTCCCAAACATGCTTCTTAGATAGCGCTACTCAACAGTCAGAAATTCAAGGGCCGTCAGTCCGATACATCAGCAATGACAATTGACTAAACCGGTTTTTACACCATGAGTGTCGAGTGACCTGCTAGGGTTACCCTTGAGAAGATCCTTGGGAAGGGCCACAGGTGTAGAGCCTGGGGGGGCTATTGGTGCATTGACATGTTGTATCAAGCCCTTCTAACTTTGTGGTTTCTGGCTGAGTTTCTGACATGGTATCAGAGCGCTGGTGACTAGGGTTCAATCCCCAGAGCTAGCGCTGTAGAGGCGCTTGTGTCTGTTAGAAAACGATAATAACTAGAAGCAAGGGTGAACAAGGGAAATATAGGGTTGGAGTTATTCCCTCTTAAGAACATACATCTATTTAGCCTATAACTTCTACATACTACACCTAGGCTAGGTAAGGGGTAGTGCTGAGCAAGAAAGGAGTAGCTCAGGGTGGCACTACTAGTCCAACCGCTGAGGCAAGTGTTCGAAGACCAGTCAGCGAGAGTACAAACAAGACAAAAGCAAACCAGTGCGACACTACTAGTCCGGCCACTAGAAGAGAAGCCATAAGGTCCTAGCAAGTGAGAGTTTACAGGAACTAGACAAAGCTGCAAACAGTGCCGCTGATGATCTCTGGGCGCAAGCGCCTTAGTAAAGATATTAGCTGTGTTGGCACGGGAGGCCAAGTGTACTACGCGGGCCTGGCGAAGCTGCTGTAGCTCGCGCATGAGGTAAGTACCGCAGCTGGATGTGCTTTCGCAGGCCAAAGACCGGGCGTCGGAGGAGCCACTGGGTCCCTGGAGGGAAGGTACCGGTAAAGCCCTGAGAACGGTGCAGGTAGACCTGCTCATATAGGTTGCCCTGAAAAAAAGCAGTGGAGAAGTTGATGGACTGGAGCTCGTAGTCACGCAGTGCTGCTACGTGTAGCAACGCCTGAAGAGTAGTCATCTTTGGGGTCGGGGCAAAGGTTTGAAAGAAGTCCACCCCCTCACGCTGACTGAAGACTCTAGCCACGTAGTGCGCCTTGAAGACAGGCATCTCTCCAGGGGGGTGCTTCACCTTGAACAGCCACCGGCCATCGACTACGTTCACCCCAAGCGGGGGAACTGCGTCGACGTAGGTGCCGGTTGACCTCCAAAATGCCATCTCCTGCTCCATGGCAGCTATCCATTGAGAGGCCCAGGGTCCCGAGGTCGCCTCAGCATAGGTGCGAGGGGTCGGAATGTCAAAGGCGTCTGGGTTACCCTCACGGACTTGCAGCATGGAACAGAGATGGGGAGCAGCCTTGGACAGGAAAGCACGCTTAAACTGCCTGTCCTCTAGGACGTCACTGCCAAGGGCAGAAGCACCCACGACGGACGGAGGACAGACAGGGTCAGAGACTAGAGGGGTGACGTAGTCGAGGCAGCGGATAGAGGCGAAGTTAGTAACAGCAGCGACAAGAGCGTCAAGAGTGGAGACAGGAACAGACGGGTCGGTAACGAGTGAGGCAAGGTCCCGAGGAACAAGAGAACGAGCGGCATGAAGGTAGTCAGACAGAGGGGGAGGCACGACAGCGAGCGACGATGGAGGAGGGGAAGGCAGGAGGGGAAGGCAGGAGGGGAAGGCAGGAGGGGAGGACGAGACGCATGGGAACGAAGCAACATAGGGTGAGAATGTGGAACAGGTGAGACAGGGCGAGCACGAGAGGGACGGCGAGACCAGACGTGACACGGAGGCGTCGGGTCAGGAGACAAAGGAGGAGTAACAGGAGGGAACGAGGGGGGAAACGGGCCGGGGACGAGTCTGGCGGAGGAAACACAGGGCCGTAGACAGGAAGGGAAGGAGGCGGTGAGGGAGGTGCAGGCGAGCGGTCGGGGGAAGGAAGGCCGAGCAGGCGAAGGGCGGACACCGGCGGCGACTGCTGCTGCTGCTGCTCGACCCCGAAACCTGGACCGCAAGCTGCACAGCGACTACCTCCGGAACACTCCTCTCCAGCACCCCCAGAACGAGCAACCAACACGAGAACCCTCTCCAGCACCGGTGCCACCCCCGAGCCCGCCGGGACAAGCCACGACAGGAACCCCAGAACTAGCACGCTCCTCAAAGCCAGCACCCCAAGAGTCCATGGACAGCTGCTGCTACTGCGACGGCAGCGGTGGTGGCTGCGGCGGCGACGATGGCTGCTGCAGTGACGGCGACTGCGACGGCGGAGGAGGAGACACCGGGGGAGAGACAGGCGGCAAGAACTGCGCCGCAGGGCCACCAGAGTCGGCCGACTCCTCGACCAGGACCCACGGGATAAGAACGCCAGGCACGTCGGCCTTCCGCTCCAAAGGAAATACCGAGGTGTAGCGCATGTAGTTGTCAACGAGCACTAGAAACTAGCGCTCGCGTCGCGGTCCAAGGACGGGGGCTGGGCCCCAGACGTCTAGGTGCAGGGTCTCGAGGGGTGCGGTGGCAGGACGAAGCGAGGAGGAGTGAGGAGCATGGCTCAACCGGCCCTCAACGTAGGGCATGCACAGCGGCGCAGGTGAGGGAGGGAGGGCAGGAAGCGACGCAGGGAGACCTAGGACGAGACTGTGCTGGGACATGTGACGCAGACGCGGGAGTGCGGGGTGACCTAGGCGGTGGTTCCACAGAAGCGACGGGTGAGTGAGCAACCGACACAAGCACGCAGCGGCGACCTGGGTAGGCGCAATACCCGGGGAGGACGGTCCGCCGGGGGGGGGGTGGGGGAAGCAGTGTCCAGCGTAAAGAGGCTAGACACTGGGTCCCGGGGGAACGTCGCAAGGGGAGAAACTGAGGCAGCCTCGGTACAGACGGCGTACTGCTTGTGACCTGGAAACATAGTGGTGACGCCGAGGTCCAAAAGACAGCCGACACCAACTAAGTTCCGAGAGAACGAGGGGATGTGCAGGCCTGTGAGGGAACCCGAGGGAACCGCTGGACAGGGAAGGGTGGTGTAGCTGCGAGCAACAACAGGACCAGAGGAGGGGTCAGCAAGTGCGACAGCAGCAGGTGCGGCAAGCGTCGTAAGCGCAGCTTGGTCGTAGAAGAAGGCACACGCACCGGAGTCAAGTGTGAAGGACATCGAAGCGGTAGCGGCGAACGAAGGAGGAGCAAGGGTAGAGCCCAGGCTAGACAAAGCAAGCGGTCCTACGCCTGACACAGCAGGGGTGTCTGTACTACACTCAGGTGCTATGCCTAAGCTAGAGAACACAGGGTAATAAGATCCAGACACACTAGAAGCGTCAGCATACAGGGAATGCAGGGCAGAACTAATCTGATCCATGCCTAAGTGAAACACAGGCACACCGTGGCGAAGCAAACTGCGCCAGTCAGGGAGGTCCGGGGCCGGGCCAAAGCGGCGATTGAACAGGTCGTCGAGGCGGTGGAAGCAGCGGGAGGTCGGGTGCGGGCGGTAGCACAGAGTGCCATGGAGAGGCCCGGTCTGAAGTTGGTACTGGCAGTCCACGGCACCGAAGCTGCCGGTAGACGCCGAGCTGCGAGGACCACCACCGCGGCCACCATCTCCAGGGGTTCCTGGCCACCCAGACGGGAGGCGGGCCCATGGCTGCTGCTGCTGTTGCTGTTGCTGCTGCTGCTGTGGCTGCGGCTGTGACTGTTGCTGCTGCATCTGATGCAGCTGCTGCTGCTCGTGGACCCCTGCCCCAGACCCCTCGTTAGATTCATTGTCTCCACCCCCACCAACTCCACCACCAGCACCACCACTACACCCTCCTTTGGGGCCGCGGCATCCCCGACGCTGTCGCTGCTGCTACGGGAAAGCAGCCGCTGCAGTCTCATTGGCAGGAGCAGCTGTAACGACGGCAGCGGAAAGGTGAGCGTACGTGCACTGGGAGGGAGCACAGCCTTGAAAGATTGGGACCACCGCAACACCGCTCGACTGAGCGATAGTGCGCTGGCGAGTCTCTATCTCAGAAAGGGCAATGACAAAGACGGTCAGGGTGAGGTCACTAGGGTGTTGGTTAAGGAAGTGGTCACGGGCAGTGGCTAAGTGGCCAGGCAAGCACATGGCAATAAGGTACAGGGTAGCACAGAACGGTGGCAGTGCTAGCAGCGCGGTAGCTAGTCTCTAGTGCACGACGGTGAGTAGCGAGGTCAGCGACAGTGGGGAAGGCGGAAAGATCGGGAATAGCATGGGGAGGATCAAGCGGCCAGCTGAGCATGGGTGTGGAGTAGCGCGCAACTACGGCATCTAGAAAGTCCTAGGCGTTCGCGACGGCAGTGAAGCGCAGACACTCAGACAGGGGAAGCGCATGACTAATGGCACGCTGCGCTACAGCATCGCGAGAATCCCAAACAGCACGAGCGAGTGCAGCAGCAGCAAAGGCCTCACTCTTAGCAGTGGTGCGGTTAGCAAGGGGGGGAAGCAAGCCATCAACATGCATAGCCAGGGAGTGCCCATCCTAGCACTGACCTGTCAGATGCCGGCAAAGATCGACAAGCCAGGCCGCAAAGTTGATCGCGTGCCCCTCCGCATCCAGGCGAAGTACGGCGTCCGCCATCATGCAGCCTTAGCAGCAGAGGTACACATCGGCACAGCGGCACAGGGTCACGGCGGCACAGCGGCACAGGTACTCAGCAGCACGGCGGCACAGCGGCAGGGCGGCAGGACTCTCCGGCGAGGAGACCAGGAGGGAGGCCGAGGAGGGCCCGAGGCACGCAGAGCCGGCAGGGCGCAAAGGGCCGGCGGAGTGCTGGGGGCCCAGTGGCACGAGAGGGCCAGTGGGCACTCGAGGAGCTGAGGCGCACGAGGGGCCGGCGAGGCGCGCAAAGGGCCGGGCAGGTGCAGGAAGGGCTGGCGCGTAGAGAGGGGCCGACTAGGCACAATGGGCCGGCGGTGCGCGAGAGGGGCCGGCTAGCGCGAGAGGCCGGCCCAAGGGGCCGTTGCGGCGCGCGCGGGGCCGGCTAGGCGGGGGGTCGGCTAGGCGCGGGGCCGGCTAGGCGCGGGGGTCGGCTAGGCGCAGGGGCCGGCTAGGCGCGGGGTCGGCTAGGCGCGGGGGCCGGCTGGGCGCGGGGGCTAGCTAGGCGAGGGGCTGGCTAGGTATGGGGTCGGCTAGGCGTGAGGGGCCGGCTAGGCTAGAGGGGCCGGCTAGGCTAAAGGGGCCGGCTAGGCACGTGAGGCCAGCACGGCGCGAGGGGCCGGCACAGCGCGCTATGGGCCGGATGGGCGCGAGGGGCCGGCGGGGCACTAAGGGGCTGGCTAGCACGCTAGGGGCAGC